AAATAATTCATCATCACCGACCCTGCCTACCTTAAATGATTGAATATTCATAATTTTTTCAGAAAAAAACCTAAAGCCAAGAATCCCTATCCTCCAGGGATACGTATGTCTCAAAAATACCCATGCAAAGCACCAGCCCAAAAAAGACAACATAGAAACCTGCTAAGGAGCAGTTCTTCCTAGTTCTTCCTTCCTTCCCCACACCGCGTTCAACCTCCAAACCAAGCGTCGGAAGCCAGAACCGGGACCAGCGATCCACGGTCTTGGACCAGCTCAGCCAGTAGTTGGCACAAAGCTTCGTAAATCGGTTGTAGCTACCTGCAAGTCTGACGTCCGTTTCCCGTGGCGACTCGAGAAAAACCAGTAAGCCCGTGCTTTAGGTCAGGTGCGGCCAGGCCCAACGAAAGACCTGAGTAGTTAGTAGTTTGTCAGCCGACAAAAGTATCACATCAAACTACTAACTTGGCAGAGTACCCAGTATCAAGTATATAATTCGTAGTGCCCAGTGGTGAGTAGAGTAGTTTATTTCAGTTTGTTTGCCAGTCGGCAAAAGTATCACGTCGACTGGCGGGGGTGACTCGTTTGGAACATCTCTGGTTCAGCTGAACCGAACGCTGATGGTGACAAGAACCCTGACAATGCCTGATGCACTTCCTCATGCCCATTTTTGCCCATAGTGGTGGTCCATTCATAAATATCCACCTTCCAAACACACCTGCAACGAACTTCCAAATTGAAGCCATCCGAATCCTCTTCAAGCCCTGACCTAAATCATAGACTTGGGGAGGCTCTACATCTTGAAATCAAATTTCTGATCATATATGATCATCGTGTGGAAGCTGGAAGTCTCGAACAAAATGACTTGCCCAGTTCCCGGTATCTTCAACACTTTGGTCCAATTCCCAAAAAGAAACTTCCTGACCACAGAAAGTGTTTGGACCAAAGTTTTGAACATACCCGGGAACTGGTCCAAACACAATGAAGTAGTATTCTGTGGTCTTTCGTTGTGCTTGGACCACAGGAGATCTTGTCACGCCAAGATCAAGCAGCTCATGTAGTTCTCGGCGCCCATCCTGGGCTTCAGCCGTGAAACGCATACGTTTTGACCGAGTCTCTTCTGGGGCACATGGCAGTTTTGACTGATATCTTCAAGACAACTGGTTCGTTGGATGGTTTGATTAAGAGCCTCTGTTGGGCAACCTAAGCCGCAGGAACTGAGACCACGATCTGGGGAAAAGCCTGTGTTGGGGACTCTGATGTACGAAGACTCCGAACGACTCTAAAGTGCCCAAGGAGAGCAAACCAACAAAACGGACCTGAAATTGTAAATAGGTGCCGAAACTTTGGACCAAGCATCTTGATCTCGTGGAAAGGCATCACCCACATGAGCTCAACGCAAATCCTTGGTGATGAATCAGCAGGCATCACTTCAATTCAAAGGTCAGTGTTTGGCACTCTCCAATGCCAACATCTATGATATCAGGCTCATGTAAAATCCCTGCATGCAACATGCCTACCACTGCCGGAGAGAAACACATATTATTGGCATTCTTTTTGAACCGGAAGATGACTGTTCAACACATCATCCATCTTAATTATGCCACGCAGTGTCTCATCCCAAACATATGTGGGCATCACAGAAACGAAGGCTCGGCTGCATCCATAGGATTCTTGCTCTCTATGGCATATGATCCAACAATAAAGCACAAATAAGCCTAATCCAAAGGCCGCTTATAGGCCTGAAAACCAACCTGAACATCCATATAGATCATTTTAGATGCAGAATGCCAGCAAGTTGACTGCCAGCTCCGCAGTAGAAGAAATGCCCTCCGTCCGTCTGTGAAAACAGGTGAGCTCCGAATTTCCCCGACTTGAAACCGAAACCGAAGGAGATAACATCGAAGGCTCTCCACAAAGTCACTGCAATTGAAGCGCTTGTGCTCTGGCCAGTTCTCCTCGGAGCCGATGGGTTGAAGCAGAGAGATTCATGCGAGGACGTGCCAAAGGATCAACCGTTGAATCAAACAGAAAGCATATGGCTTATATCCCCTCACCAGGAACAGTGGATGATGATTGTTAGTAAAGGCCTTTCTCTAAAATAGTGTTGATTGCTTACAGTTGCATGAAATTGAACAGACCCAAGGAATATGGTTGATGAACTATCCCCAGACCATCCGAGTGACGTTTAATTGCGTATAGTCAGCCCATACATGGATGGTCTGGAAGTCCAATCCAAATCCTGGAAACCACTTCTTTAGGTCCTCTGTTTGGCACCTCCGGTCATCACCAGTCATCCCCGGTCGTCCTTCCTCAGTCCTGGGGCCCTCGGAGGCCGTGAAACGGGTGCTCAAATGGTCCAGGATGTCAAAGACCCCCATTGAACATACCATCTATATATATATATTTACAGTTTTACATATGTTAATATGCATAACGTATGCATATTATACGATAAGGGTCCCAACAATGATGCCTCACCTGTTCATTTGGTTCTTGTCTTCGTCCGTGTGGCACCGGACAGGTCACGGCCAGACCTTTGGGCGCCTATGTCTCGCTCAGGCCCCGGTTTGACACCCATAGAAACACCATGAAGCGTTGACACAAAACCATTTACAGTGGTTCCAGAGAAGATGGCACAAACCCCAAGATGTCTTTGCTCGTCTTTGCTGAGGGGTCCATATAAACCACCTTTTGGATCCTTTGGGGGATTGCGCCATCTACTCCAAAACCATTGTAACACAAGCTCCTACTAATCTGTGCGGACGGGGGCCCTCCAGAAGCCAAAGAATGTGAAGCCATGGTCCACCAGAAAACCGTACTGTACACCAACCCAAACAGCCAAGGCATGCCAAGACGCTTCCAGGAAGCCCTTCAAGGCTTGCCGGGACATGCTCAGGTTGACAAAGCTCAACATGCAACAAGCATCCTGTGGCAGGGGGTGCATCCTCAGGGTGCTATTTCCGAGTCCAACCCCTCAAAAGAAAGGAAACAATGCGACACCAGCCGACAGTTCAGTTTCAAAAAGAGTGGTGTTGGGGTTTGATGCTTGTGTTCCATACCTTCAGCGCAAAAGTGTTCAAACAAGAACTGTGAAGTGGGAAAGCAGGAAAGCATTTGCGGCCTAAGAAAGAAACGCATTTGTGGCCTTAAGAGGAACCATGATGTTTCTTTGAAGTCTCTGGGGTTGCTCACTTTCTCGAACCCGTCACCAAGACTAACCTCCCTTTGTTGCCTCACTGGGACATATGATGATTGCACCCATGCAGCAACTGACCAAAACATACAAAGACCAGTTATATATATATAACTATATAGAATATGATCCAAAATCAGCAAATGCACTTCAAATACAGGTTTCTAGAAGTTCAAGCAGGGCTTTTTGATGCTTTTTGACTATCAATGAGTGAGTGGTTAGTGGGACGCTAGCCAATGTATGCCAATGTGTCTCGTTTCTAGCCCAGCAAATGATATTCAGATTTCGAACATATGATCAGATCGCTGTGGAGATGCAAAACAAGGCCAAGACCATCGCGAAAAGGAACATGTAGCAATGCTCCTCTCACCCCTTACAAAAGCGATCAGTCACTGCCTCAACAGTGATCAAGCCATTCGAGTCAGAGTCCAACATGTAAAAGAGGTTCTCGAAGAAAATAAGCTTCGCCGTATCCTTTGGACCAAGCCAAACGCCAAACTACCCCGTGTCAAAAGGATCTTTAAGAACCTCCACCCCCCACCCCCCAAAAAGAATATGGTGGGACACATTGACGCTATAGGTACAGTATATTATTTTCGAATTTTCTCCGAGTTCACCGAGCACCGTACCTGAGATTCGTATCCGAGGCTGTGCCAAATGCGGCCGCGATCAGTCACTAAGGAGCAGCCTTTTAATGTTTCTGGTCGCCAGCTGCTACAAGCGCAACCATCAGGGATGCAAACTTTCCATAGGATTCCCACGACACGGGTTCCAATCAAAGCTATCACAGTCAGTGCACAACGCATGGAACATCGTTATTGGACGCATTTGGACTCCACACCTCTCTTAATTCGCTGCTTGTGTCTGCCCGCTGTGCGTCATGCATTGGACATCTCTGTTTAACTCTATTCGTTCCAGCTCATGCCGAAGATCGCTCTCCGTGAGTTTCCCTTCCTTCAAGTTCTCTTCAATCTTGCCTCAGGTTCAGTGGTCACATGGTCGTTGGCTGTTCCGCTCCAAGCAAAAGTTGCGACTCTCCTCCTTACTGCGATATGAGGGTTGAGTTGTTCAATGTAGCAACACACTTACATTGAGAAATCAGGCCATTCGATAAACAAACAACTCTGTGTCGCCCTCTTCAATGTGCGATTTGAAGCAAACCAAATCAACTCCTGAAAGCAAGATGTGGATTGGACCCTTCCAAAGACGAGTCACTCATGGGCGTCTTGGGTTCCTTCAGAATCCCCTTGCTGAACCGTCGAAAGATGCTACCTGCAACCAACGATTCTGGAGGATGTGGTTAGTTGAAACTCCGGTGTTAGCTATATTGTTACTGCAGTGTAAATGCATCTAAAATTCAAGGGTCTGAACACTGATCGGCGTTCCATTCATTCACATTCACATTACCATTCTGCGTAGATTGGAATGATCCAAGCTCCGTACGATTTGCAGTGCGACCACCAAGAGAAGCAAAAAAAACACATTGCTAGTGATGCTACGGAAAGGCCATGTTGCTTCAGAATTTGCCAAGAAGCCTTCACCGCCAACTTACAGTCCCCTCCAAACGTGCGTTGTTCGAAACTGTTTCAAGTGGGACCGCGACTATGGTATTGTAGAATTGAAACATGTTCACATATGTTGACAATGCCAATGACCGAGCCAAGCATGACATCCTCAAATGATCTCAAATGTCAAAAACCCTGACCTCGCAGCCGACTGTTTGACCCCGCCTGCTTGCGATTCCACCGGTCCAGTTCGCCGCCCTCCTGGCAGCGCAAGCTGAGATGCTCAAAGTGAGTTCAACTCCAAGAACACATTCTCGTCACATATGACAGAGTAAGTACAGCATAGGTGTGTGTGTGTGTGTGTGTCAGTACGCATGCATGTGTGCATTGTATGGATGTACGGATGTATTTATGTATCTATGTATGGATATCCAGATGGATGGACGTATGGATGGATGGATGGGAGTGTTTCAAGATCGCCTCGCCAGAAGATCCAGGGCGCCAGCCAAGCGAGCCAAGTCGGGAGCAAGTGTTCCTTGGCGCACCGCATCGCACGGGTCTAAACATGAAATCACTTGACCAGGAATTCGCACGGTTTGGTCGTTGACCTTAGCTGTTTTTGTGGGACGCCCTGAGTCTCTGGGGAGGGCTTGTTCGAGTGGATTGTGGCGATCCTCCCCCACACCCATCGGCGAGGCTCATCCGTATGAAACGCAAAGAAGAGCACGGTCATCGTTTCCAGCAAGCTCAGGCAGCAAAAGACCTGGATGCAAAAAACGCTGGCTCTTTCGAAGGAACACCGCATGTCCAGTAAATTATACTTGCTTCATCTTGCTTCAAGCTTTTCCAGTCTATGTGTTCTCCTTGGTTTTCAATGTCTTCTCCCATCTACCCCATCGTTGGACTTCGAGAACCGCGGACCACCCCGGGGACCAGGTCAAGGCCGTGGCGTCCGTCCTACCGTCCGACGCCTTGGCGGCGTCGGTGTTGGGATGAGTTGGGGTCGATTCGGTCCTGAAGATCTGCCAACAGGAATTTCCTGTGTCTGCAGTTGAGGGTAGATGGCACAATCCCCAAGGCCGGTGGTTTATATGGACCCCCCTATATAAAGGACATCTTGGGGTGCCAGTGCCATCTCCTCTCAATCCACTGTAATATGATGTAATATGCACGTCCAATGGGTGTGAATGGAGGCCCATATGTATACTGTTGGACACCTATTGGATGATCCTGGTATGATGTACATGAATCTCACGTGAAAATGGAACACCGGTTGCCCCTCGTGAGCCGGTTGCCCCGAGGTTGCGACACAGGACAATGCGATCAAACGATGTGAATGTGAAGACTCACTTTCTTGGTGTTTCGCGTCTGTTTGACCCTTTGGGGCGCTGTGACAATTGGTTTTCCCCCTGGTGTCGCGGAAGGTTCAGCTCGATCCCTCCTCTTGGGGTGCTGGGGAGAGTGAGATGTCCGGAGCAGCCAGGGTATTTCTCCAGCTCCGGGTGCCGACCTGTGCGAATGTCGTTCGGCCGTCGCTCCGCTCCATGTATGGAATACAAACATGTCACCTGCATTGACCCTGGGAGTCCCATGACCGAAGTGTTTGGGCGTTGCTTTTGTTTCGGGGCAGGGCTCAAATGATCACACCCGTTCTTGAGCCCCAGGGGCAGAGTTCACCAGCATGAACAGGTCAATCCACAGGAGTTCACCACAAATGGGCACAAAGGTGGAGACGGTCGACCGCATCACCTCCACGACCAGCAACAAGGTAATGCCAAAGGAGAGACGTTCCTGAGAGCGGGGTCTTCCGTAGAGCTCGCAGCGATGTGGAGGACGCAGGTGCAGCGTTGTTCGATCCAAACCAGGCTGTCTTCAATTAAAAGCTTTGTAAGGGCTCAAGAGCCATCCTGACACTTTTCTAGAAGCTATCCCGGTATAGAACTGCTCGGGAGAAAAAAAATGCTCCTGTGCGCATTCGCAGTTCGCTCAGTCCAAAACCGGTTTGACACCCGTCGGCACCGAAAGAATGAAGTTCGACTGGCAGTGGGTGAACAGATCCATAAGGAATCATAAGGATGGGTGAACATCTATCCATCACCTGGATGAACAGTGAGTGAACAGTTCTATGGCACCTTCTAGATGTATAGAGATGTCAACCTTACATTGAGGTTTCGATCGCCGATTTTACTCTTTAATGCAGGGTGCTCGGAAACAGGCACCTTGCCTCATCCAGCCCAGTTGACTGTCTTAGGCAAATCATCCTTGCCAGTTACACTCCTCTCTGAGGCCAAGCTACGCCCACCTCATGTGACATAAAGAAGACCCCGAAGGAGAGCACCGTGACGAGGATGGTGGGGAAAAGGATGAGGGTGCCGTAGTAGAAGGCGGCACGATTCCTTGCTGTTGCACGGTTTCAGAGCTACCCCAGCTACCGATCAACCGGATGTGGGTCACTCGAAACCTAACACCCCAAATGCTCTTGCCTTTCAGGCCTGTTGTACAGGTGCGATGTTTGCATTTGTGGGATTCCGTGCGTGTTAGCGGTCGTCAAAGCTAGTGCCATCAGTGTATGTTGAGCTGTGAAACGTGTTCTAGCAATTCCAGCCTTCGGCTTGTGCGCGTTAGCGCGAGGTACGACCTCTGGTGGTAATTACAGATGCGCAGTGGTTCTGTGCTCTAAGTTGACCCTGATGGAATGAAGTCGAACATCTCTTGATGCCGCAACGGGGTACATAGCGGAGGTGATGCGCAAGACCGACACCCTCCGACATCCCGGCGGTTCGCTCGCTGCGACCAGCGGTGTCGAGCGAAGTTGGGACAAGTGGCAACTCCACAGTGTACTTCACAACAGTCCTCCCGGTATTCTGCACATGTGAAGTCATGTCATGTCTTCAGCTGTCAACGTGTGTCTGTTGGAAGGATTGAGAAGGTCCAATGGCGGAGAGTCTTTCACTGGCATTGGCACTCCTTGCCAGTTGATTAGGGAGCCTGCGTTTCTTTGCCGGATCAACTAACGTGACAACCCCACAAGCATTGTTATAAGGAAAGCACCTAAACAATGACCTACAATGACTCTCACATGGTCGACTCTCGCTGGGGGCTTATGCAAACCGTTCATCCTTTGTTTCAACCAATCAACCAGAAGAACCATGCGCTTCGAAGGAAGGGGCACTGGGCACATCAATGCGCTTCAACCCGGTCCAGGCATCCGTTCCAGCGGCTTCATAAAAGGTGGTCTTCAGGTCCACTTCGACTTTCTTGATGGAATACTCTTGATAGGAAGCGCCAGCGGTGTCTTCCTTTTTGGGGCGAGCGGTGGCGGACACCAGATGAAAAGCACGCCAACAACACAGCATATGACAATCCACAAACATCGGAACCAACCACTAGTGGGCAAACTGACAATAAGAGCTGGCCAAGCCGTAAGTCCAGAATACTTGGCTTGACAAGCGCAAAGACCAAAGAGGGAAGCCTGCAAGGAACCGTAAACCACAGACTTGTTAAGGCCTGCATTACACACTATTGAGGGCACAGGATCTCCCAGGCGTGGCCGGTTCTCCCAAGCTTGGCACGTCAAAGTGGACAGAACGTACACTCCCAACAGCTAAGAAAAAACCTGTCACTCTGCGCATACAAAGGCGAAGCTGTGGAACTCCAAACGCCTTCACGCCTGACCCAGCTCCCCCAAGGCCGCACCAAGCTTCGCTGGAAAGAAAAACATAGCCATCCCCCTCAAGATAAATCCCCTGAACGGGCAAGGACACAACCAAAAACCACACCCCAGGTCACCACACAAAACACCTAGGCACTCTAGCCACCTGGCAGTCATCACTGCATTAGTCAACTTTAGTGAGACACTTCACCTATGTACGGGGAAATCGGTAAGTGGCATGTAGATAAAAACGATGCACTATCGCCAAGGGTTCTGGATGATCCACCGATGGGCACGGCGTGCGAGGCCAGACGTGGTGCGGCACTACCATGGTCACCTGTGGCCGCCTATGGCCCATGGTCGAAGGAAAACATCGATACTGCAACACCACCTGGATCAATGGATGTCGGATCAAAACATGGGTAAAAATGTAAGGTTTTCCAGGGTCTTGCCCAGGTGTTGCAGCAACTCCCTTTCCCATCTCTACTGAAATTTCTCGCGAAAGGCATGAAAGCAGTATGCAAGGCTTCATGGCCTCAACAAAGCTTGGTCCCTGAGCCACGGAACTATAGCGAGAATAGGTACACTAAATAAACCTTGCGGCACATCAATAACATCAAAACATATCAAAACCAATTGTCCTTCTGTTATCCATTTCGCAGCAAGAGAGAGCCCACCACTCCCACCCGTGGCCATTTCCCAAGAATTATTCGACACCAACATCCCGCCTGAGTCACGCTGGAAAAGGACCAACCGCCCCATTCCATGGCGCACTTCAGGTTGTCGAAGGGAAAGGCAACTAATCCCGAAAACCTCGGAGCAAATTCACCAAAATTGAATTGACGTGAGACAACTGCACTCCGCAAAACTCACATGGAAGAGAAGAATGTTGACAAACTGTGACATATCTGTTCCGCAGGGGGCAACAGGGGAAACATGGGAAAACCAAATGCTGAAGCAACATGAGGTATGGATGATGTTCGGGAGTGTGTGAGCCTATGATTTGGAGACGCAATTACGGCATTGCTGTTGCGTCTCCACTGGATCTAAAACGATATCTCTGAAAAGACTGTCACTCCTTTAGGCCCTTGACTCCAAAATGGGAGGCTTTATTCTTCAAGAATCTACATTAGGCATCATTAGAATGATAGGTGACATGTTGTGACCCGTGCCTGGCAAATGCGGTTTGCCGAACAACAAAGGACCAAAGCATGTCATGGGCAGCGCTGCACAGCGCTGTGGGGTTGTTGGCGTTTCACGTGGAGTTGTGTCCTGCTGGGCTGAAGTAGGTGCACTCTAAAGGTAGCCATGATGAGGAAGTCAGAAAAATCCTGCAGCCTCCCAAAAGAGAAACGGTGTTGACTAACTTTTGAAGGATGCTTCGCTTTTCTAACTGTTTTGGGGCAAAGAGGCCACTGGAATCCTCACCGGGCCTCAGCCGCCCTGGGTAGAATCCAAGGCACTTGCACAGGATATCAATCAGCCCCGGCCGTGACCAGAAAACGACGCCAGTGGAGTAGACCCTGGCAGGTCACAGATTTGGGATCGTGCACACGTCAGGATTTACTCAGCCAAGCAACCAGTCAGCCAGTCAGTCAGTCACTCACACAATCTCCAAGGAGGCCAACCAAAAAACAACGGGTTGCACTGTCTCACTCCTGAAAGTCTGTTCAAAAACGATACAGTAATCCAAGGCAACTCCGCCCCGTTCCTCTCGTTTTCTCCACAGCATTCTCTGCAGGCAAAGGGCGTCGGAGCGGTCCTGTCCAGGCTGACTTGGATCCCGACGTTGGAATTGTACGGCTGAATGTCCTCATGCAGTGCCATGCCGCTGAAGCAAGCGCGCGAATTGCCATGCGAAAGCGGGGAAGTGGAAGATAGAAGCCAATACCTCTAGCCTATATCTCCGTATATCTCTTAGCCTCTATCTTAGAGTAACATGGCCAATTGGCAAGACACAGTCTGGTGGAACGAATATCTTACTCTTTTCTCAAATAACATGGCTTCGGCTTTTGCAATGAGGCATCTATTGTGCAGGGAAACATGTCTATTTTGCTTCCGGATATGGCCATCTATTCTGAAAATGGTATATGTTTAATTCAGTTTAGGCATCCTAGACCACCCGGGAGTTTCCACTTCCACAGTTTTCTGCTTGCCCAATCATTAGGAAGTCGATTGCCCACTTGGAGCAATATCGTGTCATGGCCGGAAATCTTCATAACTACGCTCTTTTGACCGCTTTTGGCTAGGAGGGTGCCCTCTCAAAGGCCCAATCCACCACAGCGCTGACTGCCACGCTGTGGCTACCTGGCCGGCACTGTTAGACCGCTAGGCGCCGCTAGGCCAGGGAACCGGGACCCAAATCTCAGTGTTTTCCCTGTCAGTGATGTCGCCGCCATAGAAATTTGTTTCCGATATATTGCCTTGACCGGAAGAGGGAGAAAGGCGAGCCCAAACCGTGACCATCCGTCGTAGGACCATCCGTCGTAGTCGGCTTTTCAAAGACCGAACCAAAATAAACGGCAACACGATGGTTCAAGTGTTTGGCCAAAAGCAGCTCTCTGGCACTCTAGACTTTCCTCGCCACGTGTGGGCTGAAGAAATGTGGTAGAGTGGTAGAGGAGACCCCAAAAAATCTGAGTGAGCCACAGTGATTTTCTCAAGACATGTCAAGACTTGTGACTCCAAAAACCGATCGGATCCAAACCACGAACAAACTGTCCTGTCTAACGGCCGACCTGCAAAGGAAACAAACTGTTTCATCCTTCAACAAATCCGTGTCCATAGGTCCATAAGATTCTTTGTTACTACAGGTAAAACGATTCCCAGTGAAACAATTCCCAAGGAAGCTTCTAGCTACCAGTAGCCTTCTTGTTACTAATGAGCCATGCAGTTACAACTACACAGTCCAGGATCCTTGTAGTTATTCCCCTGTGACTTCCTACGACCTACGACGGCTGGGACAGCTCCCGTGACCCCGAGGTCTATCCGCCCGTGAGGCATTCCCTTGGCGAGGCGGCGCCTTCCAGGTCCATTGTGCAGTTGGGCATCTAACGGGTCCCAGTCCCAGTGAGTCGGGTGCGCACTGTGCACTGGGTGATCAACATGCGACGCATGTTGACGAGGACAAAACATCGCAAAACATCGAGAAGAAGCAAACACACCTGGAAGCACTGCCATCGACAAACTTGGTCAACCGACAGCGGTTTGATTGCGTGGAGGGATGGAAGCGAACATATTTGATCGGCACCATCATCAAAGGCAGGATGAATTCATGAATGGGTCAATGTTCATTCAGAACGATTCAAGTCGCTTAGACCCTGACCACCACCATTGCAACAACCCATTATTTCACGTTGACTTCTTTTTGAATATAGACTCTGTTTTTTGGATCTGGTGGGAGTGTCATTGCTTCTCTCACGCTGCAAGCCCAAGATAGCCCAAGCGCCCACGCCCGGGCCGCACGGGGGAAGAAAAGCCCATGCCCCGGTCTTCCAGACCTACACCGTTCCTCTTGGCCAAATTCTATTGTCTGACCCAAAGGCCATGGCTAGTAGTAGGTTGGAGGCCATCGCTACTAGTAGCTAGAAGCTACATGAAGCTACTAGGTTGGAGCCCATCGCTACTATGTTGCATGCCATTGCTGTTAGGTTGGAGGCCATCGCTCTTGGGGCCATGCGTGGCCGTGTGATGGCAAACCTTTAGACTTTAGACCCACAGGATCCTACAGGAAATATGGTTCCAAGAATGCCCGCCCAACCAGCGGGGTAAGCAAGTAATCCAAACATATCCAGTCCCCTTCACCTCTCAATCTCCGTTGCAAGAGTCATTGAGTAATTCTGTCTGAAATGGTTTCTCTTCAACATCTTCAACTAAAGCGAGACGCGAGAGTCTCCTGCGGTCAACGCACGGGTACCATCGCCCGTGCCCACGGGTTGCATCCATCCTCTGCCCGTGTCCACGGCGTTCCCCGTCCGTGTCCCCTGGCACCATGATGCCATAGTCTTCAGGGTTCCAGCGTAATCGATCATCGGTCCTGCAATGTTGCGCCGTGGCGAAGCCGTGGCACCGGAACTGCGCGTCGTTGTGGTGTATACATGCACACACAAGAATTGAACAATAGAAACACATAATGGATACACCATGCAAACAGCCTGGAGCACCAACTTGTAAGACCAATACTACTGCAAACAAACACCATATTACTTTCCCTTCCCAGTACTTGACTTGTCTGGGTGATTTGGCATCTGGAAGAACTCTGTCAAAAAAGAACATGTGTCATCATGTGTCTATAGGGAGGCCACAGGGAAGCCAACAACCTCTGAGTCTGTGCTGTTCAGCCTTTTAGGTCCTCAAAAGGTGTTTCCAACCACACTTTCAGCCAAGCATCCATCTCAATCGCACCCACACTTTCAGCCGCATTTGCCCAGTGGAAGCACTCACCCCCTGGACCTTGAAGAATCGAATCGACATTCCTCAGAATCGACATGCCCTCGTCTGTTGAGAGACTGAGGGAAATGGATTCCAAAGACATGTGGGCATTCCTTGGCATCTGAATATCATGAGTGTGGCTCATGGGGGACCGTATGATAGGACCGTGGCACGACAGAAATAGTAGCTCATGTGGGGTCACGAATGGGGAGGCGGAACCTTCACTGTTCTACAGTTCGTTATATAGTAATTTTTGGGGGCTTGAGGAGCTAGCAAAAAATGCCGGACATCGTGTGTGATGCATGCAGCAAGTGTCAGCCACAAAATCCCACAACCTCTCAAGGACCTGATGGCGACATCTCTTGGAATCCTAGCATGGAGCGTGCAATTCCATCGGCCAAGTGAAGCAAGCTGCGGCCGGACCGTCTGGGTCCGGCCTGTCGCTCCTCTAGGTCGGTCCGTCGCTCACGCAGCGCATGTAGACATGCAAACATCTGCAGACATCTGCCCTTCATGTCATGTCCTATGACATCTGCAAGGCTCCCACATCGGTTCCAGCCGCACTGTAGTTCACCCGTCTCTGACTCCTGACTCCGACGGGCTGACGGGACCGCTCGGAGTCATGGTCCACCGGTGGCTTCAACGAAATGGCCATAGAATAACACACACCAAGCACATCCAAGCACTAACCACGTGCATAAAGCCAAGTAAAGCCACACAAATCCACTGGACATTGTGTCCACCGAAGGGGATCAAATGCCACAGTGCTAAAAGGATGCTTTGAAAATGCCTTGGAGGCTGGATAGATCGAAGTAGTCTCTCCCTATCTCTATTTGCGATATATCATCGCTGGCATTTTAGACGGAACCAAGACTGGGATCCTCGGAAGGCACTGAGCAAACAAATGCAAAAACTTAAACAAACTATCCAAACTGTGGACGTTACCCTCTTTGGCGAATAAGAGAAGTACAAACTACGAGCACGTCTCCGTCCTGGGTGGCACCATTGGATCATAGCCAATCGTCAAGTGTTTCCGAAGGGCGGTAGCATGATCCTTGGTCTACAATTGTAGAACCCCATCATAAACCTCTCAAAGCCTCCAGCACAAACAAAAGTAACAAACATGTTGCCACAAACACTTGCAGTCTTCCACAAAACGTACAATCATATCATATCATATCATAGGGTGATCCTCCAGCAGGTCACAACTATATAGAAACATATTATATATAATATGATATTGATACTATACTATGAGTACACATACATATATATACCTAGGAAGTCCAAAGCCTGCAGAATTTTTGCTTTTGCAAGTTTTTCTGCTGCCGGCATCTATTTTTGATCGCGAGCACTTTTAAGGTTTTGTTGAACTCTTCTGGAGTAAAGCAATCTTCAGGTGTTTCAAGCAAACACTGTTGCCACCCAGAAGTCATAAGACAAAGAATTAGAGGAGTTGATACAATGATTCACAACAAGTACCTAACCTAATGATAATAGCAACAATAACACAAAGTCATTGGCAAATATTGAGCAGCGCTTTCGAAGCAGCACCATGACGTGCTGATCTCTGACCCACTTTGGGTGCTCCTGGCATGAGTTGACCTGCTGGTGTGCTTGAGGGTTTGCAGGACCAGGAATTTTGAAACAACGATATATTTGTTAGCAATTTAGTGGGATCAAGACTAGTTGCTATCGACTGCACTTGGGGTCTCGTGATGGCACAGCCATCGCTCGCGGAGATGTTGGATGCTGATGTTGTCATGAGACAAATTGGCAGAAACAAGGGGTGCCTGACTATGTGGGATGACCCCACAGTGGTCGGGCTTGCCAATTGCGGCCACCTGAAGTTGAACCTGAAATTGATGGAGATCACAACCGACTGGTTCTTACCACAGAGCCAGGGGCCTCAAGCAATTCCCATTGATGCCATTCGCAAACAGGCTTGGGTAAGGGAGAGCACCTATACTGGTAAACAAACCTTAGGCCGCATTGGTTTACCCATGTTTACCTCACCTGAGTAGTGTGTTATTTTTTAATTTTTAAGGATTGATCGGTTCGATGTTTGGTGGACTTGTTGGAAATGATCAATGGATGACAAGCCGCCTGCAGGTGATTGAATGGAGGAAGTTGTTTGGTTTGCCAATGGACATGGCCACCGTACACATGGACTCCTGGGGAATTCGGAAGCTCTTCAGTCATTTGCTGCGAAGATGGTTGGGTGGCGCTGACAAACCTAAAGAAACTTGGGTTTGGATTGGGAAACTTTTCTTATGCAATTCACCCCAATAAGACACTTTAGATGGAATCCATACGTTCTTTCAATCAAGAGTGAAATCAGGACCCAGCTCTCCAAGCATTGTGGGGAAAACTCGACATGGCATGGAACCCTGCTGGTGGCGTCAGGGAAGATGACGGAGATCAACATGATGGAGATGGAGATGATGGTGACGCTCGAGGGCCTGATGCTCCAGAGCACGATGCAGATGGTCCTCATGCTCCAGAGCGCGATGAAGA